TGTTCGAAAATTGTTTTTACACCAGCAAGTTTATTTCAAGATACAAATTATATAAGAAATTAAAAAATAAATCGGAGATAATATGTTTTACGTAAAGCTTTATGTAACAACGGGATACACTAGCTATTATTCTGCGTCTTCGCCTACGTAAATTATAGCCTACAAAATCAAATAATGTAGCTTCCCGTAGATGAAAGAATTTTTAAAATCGTCCCAGTAGTTACGGAACCTATTCAATCAAATCTTTTCTCTTTATAATATTAGTTATATATTAAGTGAAGAATAAGTAACGTTATTGATTACGCAATGCGCCATCATCTGTCTTATTGATAAAGCTTTACAATATCTTTCCTTTTAGTATGACTATTTAGTTCGACATACTCTTATATATTAACATTTCTAAATCTATCAATCGTCAATCTGTATTTGTCTTAGTGATACTTTTTGTAAAACCTAAAGACGAAACGTAAAACAAATAGGACCTACCTTTGTTTTTATTGTCTACCTTTTTCCACCCACATCTCTAGTCTCTTGAATGTTTCTTTACAATGTTGCGATCTCGGGATTTTTTGACGCTAATTATATATTCCTTTGCCGTATTCCATGAGTGAAATGCTTTAAGTGAAAAAATTGGTATTTTATTATTGTCATTTCTTTGAGAGGATAAGATCCAAAATTTATTTTCTCTTAAAATTACCTTTACGCTAAATTCTATGTATTACTCCTGATGTATTTACTATGGCTAATATCATTTTTATTCCTATAATTCATAATGTGTAATTTACATTTACACAATAGAATACAATACAAAAATGGAAAGTATAAATTTGGCGGTTATTTAAAGCAAACTAACGTATACTTTTCTAACATTTTCATTTTAAATGTGCTTTAATTTACACTATGTTTTACATTTCGTAGTCCTTTTTTAATATTAAGACGGGTTTTTCAGGAAAATAAGGCCAATAATCCCCACTACCTTTGCGGTTTTAACGCATATTGGAAACCGTAGATAAGGGCAAAAACATATTACACAACACAATAATAAAGTAGGTACCTAAGGTATAAAAAATGTGAATACAAAAGTTCAATTATTTACAAACAAACAAAGTGACATTGGTAAGTTTAAGTACAATATACGTAAAATGAACAATATATCTTTGCACCCTTTCTTAAATTTTATTCATTAACTAAAAACTCACAACTCTATACGACTATATTCAACTCGAATCTAGTCAAATTGACTGGAAACAAGTTATCGATAAATTTGAAGAAATGATGGTAAGATATTTTGATCGCATCTCATAGTTAGATCATTATACATCTTCGATTGCCTTGATAAAATTTAACTTCGATACGTGACACTTTGAGCGCTCCGAAAATTATGACGCTGGTTGTACTTAAACAAGCGCATAATAATACAAGTTTAACTCCTTTATGTATGGTCAGTCAAGCCGCGCCGCCTAACTCACGGTTAACAATGGCACAAGCATCCCACGTGTCTGAACTAGAGTTTGACGATAGTTTAATGAGTTCACTACTCTTTACCTACCAACGAAAAGAAAACTTGAAGTCTACTTGGTAAAAGAACAACACAGAGAGCGTCGACCGCATTTTTAAATATTATTAAATTTTATACAACATTACGTACGTTGCTCAGATTCCAAGATGAGTAGCTAAAGCCCCCGTAACATGGAGTATCTGAGACAACGAAAGTACCACAACACCCAGACAATGTAGAAAAGTTAATTTTCTACATTAACCCGACCGGGAATCGAAACCTGAACCTCAGAGATGGCGACATGTAAAAACTAGCGTTGCGAGAAACCATTAAGGAGTCTACGGAGGTCGTCAAATATTGAATATTGTTTTTAAGGGTTTATGTTAATCTTCTAACACTATTAAAACGTGAAAACAATCAGATCAATAAACATCTACGCATTGAACTTTAGGAAATTAATAAATATGAATTTTTATAAAAAAGTTAATGATTGTTTGTGTCCCAAAATTGTCTTAATTTGTTTGAAAATTGCATTGCGAATTATGACTGAAAACGTAGATTTGTGTCTTGTTTCCTAATTCACGTAAAGAATGAACGACACACGCGGCTCGCTGTCAAATTGATTTACGAATTCATCAATATTTATGTGTTTTCGAAACGATTTCAGGTTATGAACTTTTTAAAATGGACCTCTTTAAATTTTAGATGTAGTTAAAAACCGAGTAAAGTATCAGTCTTTGTTATCAAAATAAAATATACAAAAAAAAATCTCCAGCAGTGATATTCTCTTAAAATCAAACACAGTGTCGAATAACGTCAACTAAAACCTCATTCCAAGATAATATTTTTTTATTTCATTGTAACTCCAAATGTGATAGTTAAGACTAATAAATTTTTACAGAAAATCGAAGCGGAGCCCTAAGCGCTCCCGATTCTAAATTATAAATATTCTGAGAAATTAAAATACCAATTCCAGACTTCAAAACACTTCGATGATCTGTTAATTATAAATTCGTTAGTTGTTACAAGAAATCACGTTTTTCCTAAGACATGTAATTAATTAAATTTTCTGTTTCTACATTAAATTAAAATACCAAATGTGGTAATTTCAATCAACATTTATTACGAGAAATAAAATGAATTCAAATTCATCAACTTTAAGAACATTTAAAACTACTATTTAAAAAAGCATAAGTAAGCAGTATTTCATTTAGTAGCTAAAGCTGACTGCATTCCAAAGCCTGGCGGCGGCGGCGGCTCAAGGAGACTTGTCAAACCACATATGGGCTCGCAAACATACCTACCATTTCTGAAATCACAGTTTAAGATTAGTAACCTATTCTAATAAGTACCTGGCATTAAAAATATTAGACAACAATATTGCGCAGATTCTAACATGCGTAGCTAAAGCCTAATTAAGGGGTATTGAGACAACGTAGGTACCCAGACCCGAAACAATATACAAAAGTTAATTTTGTATATTGACCAAACCCGGAATCTTCTCAGGACGCATAAAGCCAAATTCTATGCAGTTGCATTTCTTTTCTAAGATTACAATTACGAATTTATTTATTTGATAAAAAAAAATATGTCAAATATTTTTTAAAGCTTAAATTCAAGTGATTTATTACATTTGGTATATTTTAATATTTTTATTAAACAGGGGTCTCGTTTGTTAATTGTATTGGCCTACTACTAAACTATCTAATTTATTGTATTTGGAATTAGGATGTAATTGATAACCAAAAACGACTCTTCAGAAGTTTTTAAATGTAATTATTTTATTACAAATTCAGTGACTTCGATAGTTTAACGGGCGAATATAATAAAAAAACGAAGTTACTGCTTATCTAAATTATTTAAATTTACTAAATGTCATAAAGCATTTAAATATTAGGTTTTGTTATTTTTTAATTTCCATAGATTTTTTGTTTTGTTTTAATTAAATAAATACATTCATAATTCTACTTTCATTATGACTATATTAAATATATTTCATAAAAGAAATGCTGTCAATAACATTATCACTAATTAAATGTAGAGGGTTAGTTCAAACATAATTTGACTTCACGTATTCGGACCTTGAAACTCGCAAACCACTCGGCCGCGGAGGTATGCAGGATCTTGTGTCAGTTTACGAATATGATCAGTCAAAAACGATTTTCTTAATGCCTATTAAGTAATGTCATGTTTAAATAGAATCACATTGTGTTCTTGAGCAGTCGTATGTACTTATAACGTTTAAAGGTTGTTGATACACTCATAGAACCCCGTTAAATTTGCAGCTACGATCTCTGAAGTCCCAAGTACACCAATAAACAAGAACTTGTTACTTGACTCATGTATATGTATATAAATGTAAATAACAATCTCCATCAACTTTGAAACTGAATAATTTATGTAAATATTATTTATTTACACTAAGACAGCTTTGGTTACTTTGTGAGTGTGTTGGTTTTGACTTACTCCTTTATCTACAAAGGGTTGTATGCAAGACGTGACAGAGAAGTGGCTCTGACTTAGTGTAACAATGTATCGTCAGCAAAAGTTTATTTACACACATCAATGAATAAATTTGAACTGAAATTTCAAAAACTCCCCTGTGTACTAACCCTCAGAAGGGGGGCTGGTTAAAGAGCAGGGGCATATCCACTAAAACCCAGCAATGTCCCTCACCACGGGGAACGACGCACGGTGACGGTTCCCAAAGGGACTACTTCCCGCGCGTGCCATCCCCACTCCACACTCCCCTTTTACAGGGCAGATCCCATCTCAGGTTAGGGGAAGAACTCAGAAACATTCGAGTCCAACCCCGCAGACAGGACAAGGGGCATGCAGTGCGATAACCAACCAGACTGCCCCGCGTCAAAAGCAAGAGTGCGCGGCTGTACAACTCCCGCTCTAACCTGTGTAGTAGAAGAATTCAACTGGGCTGAACCCCCGTGAATCCTTCACTCCTATAGCCCCGGTTACCCATGTCCGGCTCAGCGTTGACCTAACCAGTCATAGGTACCCCGTCCCTCAGTCGCTACTCTGATAGTGGCCCCGCCCGGGCCGCGCTGCCGCCCCACTACCTATGTGCGAAATGGAAAATTCCCTCTCCTGCATAAGCAGGGCGACTCCTGAGCTTTCCTCGCTACTAACACTCCGAGCCCCCCGGCCGGCCGTAGCCAATAGGGTAGCAAGGGCCCGCGTGATCATTAGGAAACCATTAAGTGGAATAAAAAATAGCTTAAATATTAATTCAGGCTTGGAATTATCCATATACCGTATTATATTTAATCCGTTTAGTTTCTGCTTTAAGGAATACCAATCATTACAAGCTTTAACATTTATATTATTAGTAGGATTTTATATGCTGTTGTAATATTTTGAATAATATTTATTATGTCTAATAAACTATTTTGTCTCAATTTTATTGAATAATAAAATATAAAATAGATTTTATTGACACTTTTCCCTGTCTAGAAATTTACTTCCAGATTTTAACATGAGATTATGCTTACTGGGGGCCGATAGGTGGTATTTGTCCAGCTTTGATTGCTTTTATGATATTGTAGACATCACAAACATTAACATCTTCCTGAAAGAAAAAGGAAAGAAGTTAAATAAACATAATTCTTTTTTGGACGTATGTAGATTATACTAATCCAAATTAATTGTTATATAATTTGTAATATTTTCAGTTTTTTTTTAGTATACATTCTAAAATGTGTTAAAATAAGTAGGAGAATTTAAAGGCGCTGTTTTAATAAGTTCAATCTACGATGTTAAACGACTATCGAATAGGCCAGTCATCGCGTAACCAGAAAGTAGTCATTAACAAGCCAATACCCATCTATCAATAAATGACTAAGTAATAATTTATTCGTTAAAATTTATTTGTTTGTTAATTTAATGCACAAAACAGGTGACCACCAAGAATTTCGAGAAATAATAGAGCATATAAAACTAAACTAATATAGACTAGGTTGAAACCCTAAACATGTACATACTACTAAAGTTTATCATAAGCAGCAAATAAATTGTATCTGCTACCTGTCATACATTATAGGCAATTATTAATGAGAATATTGACGTGATTATCTTAATAATAAATTAAATTATAAGAACAGAAATAATAAGAGCAATTGATGGAGAAAATTGATTAAATTTTTAGAGTATTCAACATAAATTCTTAGTGCATTACAATAAGGAATAATAATATAGACTAATTATAATTTTAAATTTATAAGAATACAATTACTGATAGTAATTTATGGATAAAATTGATTGCAAAAATATTATTGAAATAATAATAAATTACTTTTGATAAGTCTTTAGTTTATATTTAAATCGCAATAGATTTTGAACGAAAATGTCAATGCCATCAACTGACTAAAGTAGATGGCTATCAATGAGATGAAATTACTTTCTACGACTAGATATTGACTGGATTCGGAATTTCTTCAGTCTGTTTTCAAAGGAGGACAGAATACGGTGAAGTTCATACTGAAAGAAATCATTCTTAGGAATTGCTTCTGTATTAACTCGATCCTCTCACCTGATAATATGGTGACCATATTGCTGTTTTATAGGTACTTTAACAAACTCCGCACCAGGGCAAAGTAAAGAGTTAAGTATGATGATATGTTCGTAAAGCCTTTAGATACTCTGAAAATAATGCCCAACATACGCAATGATCTGTCCTCTTTGTGATCATAGTGATGACGAAAAGACAAATCGCTATAAAATATGTCTTCGATATCTGAGATTTATGAGTTAATTGTTGATTGTTAAAGAAATTGTTTAAGTAAGTAGCATTTAGTTTCCTTGTATAGAGCTTAGTATAGAGTCTAAATCCATCTGTAGCTTTATCGCATCGAATTCTGAATTAAGTAAAGTATATAATCTTAACTGAAGTCTGAGACGTGCTTAACCTTACATTCTCAATCCAGAAACCAGGTGTAAGACTCCTCGGTCGATTCGTCTGCTTGCCTGTTAGTCCGTCTGTCCAGGCTGTATGTCAATCGTAATAGTTACATAGTTGCAATTTTCACAGACGATCTTTCGCCACTATAACAACATATACTAAAAAGCGTTTTGTCATTAATAATAGCACGGAACCTTCGTACGCCACCCACTAACACTTGGCCGGTGTTTTGTTAAATATTCGATGTAATTTTCTGTTAATCTTTGTAATAAATAATTTGAATCACGACAGAACCATAACGCTCAATTCTCTGTATTAAAAAAAGAACATCTTACATAATAATCATCGTCGACTACAAACATGGGAGCATTGACGCACGCTCCTTGACATTCAACGGTGTCGACTCCAAACATTTTGTCAGGGGAGAGGCCACCGACACTGCAGCAGGTAGCTTCCTCAGCTGCCCGCAGTATGATGTCAGAACCTCGTATCATGCAGGGCGTAGTGATGCATACTTTAACATGGTATTTGCCACGGAAACGCCTGAAAACGAAATATATTAAAAAGACAAAATAATTGATATTAAGACTAGAATATTCCTGCTCCTTCGTGGTTGAGTAATAAGACTTGAATGTGTCGTGAAAGTTCTTGTAGTATCGATGTCAATTGTTAGTTGTTAAATAAAAAAAATATATCTTATCTAAATCTGCTAAGTAATTTACATGATTTCTAAGGAAAATAATGGGGGGGGGATATTTTCGTTATGTTTATTTCATATAATAAATCAATGTGTAAATAGTTGATCTTGTTAAATTAGTAGATAGAAAATATACAAGTTTTGTAAAGGGTGATACCAGGCCTGTATTTATCCTGGCGGTGCAACGCACCCGGGCGCCGCACCAATGATCTTCGGGGAATTCCCTGTAATGAGAGCACTGCTTGCACCCGGGCGCCTGTTGATACAGTGTGTCCATGTCCAAGTACTCAGGGTCAGCAAAACATGACTCGGTACGGTACCCAGTGCGGAAGTTAGGTAGTGGAACACCCGATGGCGCAAACATTTAGTGATTACCGAATATTTTCCCGATGGCTTTAAGCGATTTCCGAATACAATTTTTATATCTCGAAATGAAAGTTATATTATTTTTTATTTTAACTTGCCATTATTTACAATTTTTCTTATAAAAGTCGATTAAAATATAGATATAGATTATTTATGATATGTAAATAATCTATATCTATATTTTGATTTTTTTTTTTTTATTTTATATGTGTCTATGTTGACTTTATAATTTTTTTTTGTAGCACCGCCTTATTAATGTATCTATTCCATAACTTTCCGGTTGACTGATAGAGAATGCCTACAGGCATTAAGTCCGCCATTTATACGTTTTATTTGTGCAAAGAAGTTTAAATAAATAAATAAATAAATATAGTCAAACAGTTCATTTAAATATAAATAATAAAATGCGTCACAGAATTATTGTTTTGATCTTAGAGTATACAAGTAAATATAAATGATATTATTAAAATGATTATAGTATACCTTTTAACCATAGTGTAAAAGGTAGCCCACTCGTAAACTCTTACTCTAGGTATACTAAGAATCTCTGCGACCTTATGCATAGCTGATATGGGAACCCATCCAATTTGCCGCTGCACTATATCCAAAGCTGCGCCTAACACCGATCGTTGTGCACCAGCTGGGTAGTTCTGCACCAATGCTGCAATACGCTGTAAACAGAAACGTTATAAGTCTTTTCTATTCTGACTAGGATACCTTTTGTATATGGTTAGGACACATCATCATCATCATTAGCCCCACTGCAGAGGGGACCATCTATAACCATCCTTATGGATAAGTAATAATTTGTGGCCTATGTTGTGGCAATTTGTGGGTATCTTGTGGTATAAAGAAAGCTTCAAAGGTTTCCTTAAGCTTTAAAGCTTTCCTTGTGGATGGTCAAAGAGAATTGGCTATGCACTCTGGCCCAATGCGAATTGGAGAATATTAACGACTGCAAATGCAGCCGGGTTCAAAAACTTAACGTACCTTCCGAAGCACGGAGTAGCTATATGTAATGATTTTTTAGTTACCCATCTCGTGACCGATCCGTGAAAGCTACTTAATAACAAAGTTTGCGAACAGTGGCGCTTATTCACAACGCCACCAAGCTACTAGTTAGGACACATGTGTTTCATATTACACACGGTTAATTTTTAAGTACATCTAAAATTTGAAGATGTACATCAGACACTCAATAGTTCACCAAAAGTTAGTACATATAATTTATAGGTGCAGTTACATTTTGAAAAATTAATTAGCTAAAATCATCTCTGAATAGACACAAAACAAAACACGATCACACATTCATTCTTTCCATGATTTACGAAACAAGACAGAAGATAACGTTTTCATCCATAGTGCAAATCAAACTCTACACAAATGAAGTCAAATTTTGGGACACAAACAATCGTCAATAATTTTTATATTTTCTGCACAGAATTTATTAAGTATAAAACGCGGTTAAAGTCGCGGAATAACAATGTAGAGCTTAATATTTGATAAATTTTGCATTCTTTAAGAATATTTTTCAATGCATATCTGTTTAATGTCCAACATATTAATGTCCCCCTTTTTTCTTTGTTAGTAATTCACATTTAAAAACAAATCTTCCCCGAGTTATTAGTTTAAGATAGCACGTTTCGTTGATAAATTTTTTAAATTGAATTTGAATGCTGCAACGTATAAACAAAGGTAGTTACGGGGCTCTATGAATAACTAAGACTCCGCTGTATGTCCTGTCTGTCTGTTATCAAGTTGTATCCCCTGAACCGTGATAATTATTCAGTTGGAATTTTCATTGATGATTGCCGCTATAACAAAAATACAAAAAAACTCAAATAAATATTTATGGGACTTCCATAAGCATGATATTTTGCTCGTTTCTGGTATGAAACCCTTCGTGCACAAGTCCGACTTGCACTTGCTTAATAAATATTGCATGACAATGCTCCATTTTTTTTAAATTATAGACTACATTGCACACATAGCTCAGATTTCAAGACGAGTAGCTAAAGCCCCTGTATTATGTAATATATAAGTCAACAAAGGTTTCACAACACCCAGACCCGATAAAATATTGAAAAGCCAATTTCCAACATTGACCCGACCGGAAGTCGAACCTCAGAGATGGCGACATCTTGAAACCGACGAGCGAACCACTCGAGTACGGAGGTCATCATTGATATTTTACATGCAAATTAACTAACGAAAAATATATTCTATCATCGCACAATTATTAAACCTAATTCATAATAATAACACCTATATAGATTTCAGCTCTTTATCTTCTAATTAATCTTATTTATACTATTATATTTGAACGAATACTAACTAGTAAAATATGTTTACACATAATGTTTACAACACAAACACACCGCTCCGTACTTCAAATTCAACTGAACCTACCTTTGATACAACCTGAGGGAATATTTTAATAGGCAAAACTAAGTTTTAATGTGGGTCCTAAGATGGCGTCATAAAGTACCCCATTATCCCTTACGTAGAAGACAACGACAACTAATTCCCTTTACAACCCACCAACGGACATTTGCTATTTTCCTCAAAACTACAATCAACTTCTAAACAACACCTGTACCAAAACATAAAATTCTATGTTTGGATTAAATGAAGGGTGCTGCAGTAAAAAGAAAACAAAACAAGAATAGTTTAAGATAGATGAAAATATCAAAATAATGATATATGTGTATATAAAACGAAGAAAAATTTAATTTTCATGCATTACTAGAACAGCGCTTGATAGTCCAGCTTTTGTATACAAGGCTTGTACTCCCTTAGTGGAGACATTGATAGGATTTAGATGATGACTAGAATAGCTTTTATTTTAATATCACTCAATATTAGGACTCTGCTACAAAGCTACTTTTGTTTGTATTTTCCACTAGAAAAAAAATATATTTTTTACGTCTACTTTTAAATATTTTGCGAGGATATGCTAATGAGTTTCGTTAGAACCAAACTTGAAAAAAAAGACAAAGAAAAATGGTAAATAATTTGAGTCAATATAAAAAAATCTATGGACCTAAATGTAAATTTATAAAATCTTGTCAACAATTGACAATACAATAATACCGAAGCTTCCTTTAATATATGCCGGGTTTTTTTTTATAATTCATAGAATAAATAGGTAAATAAATAATAGACATAACATGCAGATTTCAACAAACTAAGTAGCTAAGTACTTGTATTATGTAAATCTGAAAGAACAAACGTAACACATTACCCAGAGCCAAGACAATATAGAAAAGTTCGCTTTCTACGCTTCGGGTCAATACCCCGACTGGAAATCGAACCCGGGATCTTGGTGAGATGGTGACACCTTGAAATCGGCGTGCAAACACTCTGTTACATGGGTACTTTGATAAGTATTTAGTCATTTTATAGTTAATAGATCCGTATTATGGATAAACAATATGTGGAACAAAATATGAACATGTTTCATAATGTTTTCTTTTTCTGATATTATGGATAATTGTTTTTCTGTTTATAACTGAATATGATAAAACTACTTGGATTAAATTTGGTGCATAAATACTTATTACTGATTTTGGTAATAACGTTCTACTCCATAGTTTCAAAAAGGTTTTAAATACCGAAATCCATGTATTTAAAATTATTTTTGAGTCATATACTAACTGCCATATTAGGTTCAGTAAATTCAAAAGGAGTTTGAGCATTATTATCAGACGAATCACGGTGTACAAACAAATCTTCTGCCGACAGTCTTATTGTGGTCGATATATTTCTGAACAGGAACGGTACCTGAAAATGAAAATCATTGAATGAATAAATACTAGATATTTTTACATAACACTGTTCCAATCCTATGTAGTTATTACTTCACTGTCACTCAGACCCAAGTCAGTGTGTAATAAAAAAACAATTTTCCGTATTGTCCACCAAGACAACCGAGTATATGGATTTCCATCAAATGCACTCAACGTTCAATACAATTGAGGCTAGCAGGTAAGCTATTCATTAATTATTCAAAAAGTCGATATCCATATGATAACGATAAGTTGAAGCCAATCGGGTCACAAGAAATCCGTCCAGGATTCGAATTGCAGTCTTAAGTACTAGCATCACCTTGAAACTAGCTGAGATTAAACTACACTGGTATGATGTTGGAAGAATAAAGGTACTAACTATAAATATAAAACAATATTTCAAAATAAGAATGTTAAGTTTGTCAAGGTCTTAATCTTGAACAGGTAAATAAGATCTGTCAAGTTCACAATACTTGGATTCTGAATGGTTTGAAATTACCGTTATAAATAGAAAAGCAATTTGATGATTCGATTCAATTCTATCAATATAAAAAAAACGGGCTGAATTGAAACTAAATTAGGTTATATGATATCATGATATTTACAAAGAATGGGAGACATATTTGTTGATATTTACATTTGGGATATACTTTCTTAACGTAATCATGGCGAATATTTTATAATAAATAATAAATTAAATATTTTCTGTTTGAAGTTTGATATTATATGACAGCCTGATCACCATAGAGAAAGTTCATAGAGTAAATTTATTACACTGAAAAAAATAAATTGACAAAAAAATGACAGCCAGTGTTATAAATCTATGACAACAGCAGATTTTCCAATAATCAAATTGTATGCCAAAATATAAAAATGCCGAGTCTATAAAATACTCAAACATGAAGTGAACTGAGCAAAACTGGTATGGGCGAAATCCACAAGGGCAACGCCATTAATTAAAAAAAAGAAGAAGACTCAAATTGTATTAAAATTATCTTTTGGTGTAAAGATAATGAAAGACTAACTTTCCGCCACCTGTTCCGCCGGCGTGGTCCTGTAATAAACATACCTTCCTCTTAAATCACTCTGTATATTGATAACAACCATATTAAAATCTGTTATGTAGTTTAAAAAATATCAGCGCACTGACAGCGGGAAGCGATACTATGTATAGATTAACATTACATCTAAAACAACAGTCCGAAGGTTAAGAAACTTTCGTAAGGGGCCGATTATGAAGAACCAAAAATCAAGTGACACGTTACACGTTAAATTCTCTTCTTTTCCTTTCCATCTACTCGTATATGGAAAGCCTATGCCGCAGCAATAGGGGCATTAATATGCTGATAATGGTGATAGCACCTTTAAAAACGTAACCTACGTATAAATAAACAAATACACAAAAATATTATACTTTGTACATTGTACATAATGCAAACACATTTGCAACAAAATCGTTTTATCTAGTACGAGATATTTTAATAAAGGCACTCACAACCTTACCGGCGCATCGACGCAAAAGCATTAAGGAAAGTGTTTCCACCGATCGCGAAGTTGTTACCGAACGAACGACCAATATTAACGGATATTGGGAAAAGATGGTAAAAGATGGCGGCCGTCGGATCAAGACTAGTAGACGCTAATATTCAGTGGTGCAATATCTGGATTTGAACGATAAAACCGCTCTGGGCGATCTTAGGCCCGTTATTGACCGTACAGTATTTTTTGAAGGCAGATATTGGGCAATTTCCAGTCGGCAAGTGATGGTTATTGTTGGCACGTAGGTAAACATTGAAGATAGTATAAGCAAGTTTATGCTTTGGTGATTTTAGAGATTTGTTTCAAGTTAACAAAGACTATGTATCTCTCTGCAGTCATTAGTTTAAAACGTCTGCAAAAAAATAAGTTAATATTATTACGGAACGCAGCGGCGAGGTTCGTCTACGCATTACTAGATGGTTTTATGCGCCAATGAATCGCGCTAACACTGTTGGAATTACCTATGTTATATAAGTATATATCGGATCGTATCTGGAGAAGAAAGACATGGGTGGCTGTTCTAGAGTTTTTTGATAATGCCTCGAATATACAGGTTGGGCCGAGGAAACACCTAGAATGTTTTAGGTCCTAACTTAGAAGATTCTAGATGCCGTATCGGCCCCAATGAATACTCGGTGGATTACTCGTCCCGGGATTCTTCAGTGAACAAACGATTTAATAGTGTTCTAAAGTTGAAGTGTGAATTTTGTAGTTGGATTATTTTCGTTATTTTATAGTGTTAAATAAAGTCAGATTGTGAAATATCATTGACGTTAATTTTTATCCCATACCCTAAGTCGTAATAATATGTAGCCAAAATTGACTTTAGTGGTATGCCTGGTAACCTAAGGCAAGCTATTAAACCGTTTTTTTCTTAGTGGAAAAGACTATAGTATTTATTTAAAGATACCTAAGATGAACTAACTCTTAGTTTCTTATTAAATCAGTTGATGTCAGCGTCATTTAATTTTCAGTTTCTAGATTTATCCCCACAACTGGTGATAAATTATTATTTGATCGATTCAGCATTTACAATGCTATAGTGGAAAATAGTGCTCTAAAACAGTCGCCCGGATTGTGAAAGTTCGTAGGTTCAAATCTCATCTCATAGTACCAGGGATACAGTGGATTTTTTAAGCAATTTCCATATCAGAATACTAATAATTCTTTAAATGCATATACATCTGAAGGAACTTTGATGTAAAACGTTTAACGTTAGCTGAACCCCTAACTAAATTTCGTTGTTAGGAGTATTAAAAAAGTTCTGTCTCCATCAAGATACAATAACGATTCGTTCTTTCAACAGGAAAAATCAGCGTAAAATTTCATCAGCAAATTTAATTTCTTGTTGACTGCGGCGGCCCTCGTTCGTTAGATTGAAACAAATTTTCAATCAACCGTTGGGATTATTCGGCCGCGGTTTACACGACGCCATTCAGTGATTGATCAATTTCATCAAACCAACGAAAACAGGTTCGAAACGGAATCTTTAATATAATCAGATTACCTAATCCGGTTTTGCGGCAATTGTTATTTTTTAATAAGAAATAACCCTATTAAAGTAAGATTTGTTTTGGTGTTCCTTTTAGATGATATTATTCTTTTTTTTTAATAATAATCGCGTCAACATGTATGCAAGTTCGATTTACTTCAAAGTTTATTTTTACTTTTAAACCATTTATCTTTTTATATAGTTAGTTATTCATGACATATTGACTGATCCGCCATATAGAAAGTTAACTAAACTAACTATATTATTTATATAGATACAATCAAACTCTAACAATCTGAACTAATCCTAGAAGTGATTGTTTTATCGTGATAACAGGCTGGCTAATCAGTCTGATGGATATTTCAATTAGTTTGTTTGCTATCATCGATTGATTATTCTGGGATATTCTATACAACAGATTAACTTAAATAGGCGATTTCAGTGGGTTCAGTCATAAACCTACTACGGATTCGCTTCATTCCTCAATTGTACCTACATACAGTCTTCTGAAATTGCAATTTTAGTATTAGTCCAAATTGACTTTCTAGGAATAAATATTTCTTTCGTAGAATCTCGTATTAGGTTACGCTTTGTGAAGTATCTATTTAATAATATTAATTTTGACTAATACAAAGTGCAATCGTAGCGTATATTAACTCCAACTCTAAACCTTGTTTATTAATAACACTGTAAACGTAATAAATTCTCGGAATACCTCGGTCTGGTATCTGGATCTGGATTATTTAAGCATTTTTCCATAAATATACTTATCAGTATAGCATTGTGAATGCAAAAGTGAGAAAATATAATTAATAAATCCATTTCAAAATTGATCATTAAGTTTTCTCTACAAAAACTAGCAAAATCGTAGCGTTTCATAGCTTTCGAAGCACGGAGTAGCTCGAGATTATAATTTTTTGGTAATCCATCCCGTGATCGACCCTTGAGAAAGTTAATTAACAACAATGATTGAGCGCTTACCCAATACGCCATATATGCTGCTAATCCTCCTCACCTCTTAAAGTGATTTAATTAAATTTATCTGAGATAAAATTTAAATAGTATTATATGGTAAAATATCACTCAACTAAAATAATTTCATCACATGGTAAGGGTCCCAGCTCTTTGATATAATACTAGCAAATGCAACTATAGAGGTTGATGGCTACTTAGCATGAGTCAACTGCAGTTAAGGGCTTTGTGTAAGGTTAGCAAATAATATGTGTTTGGCTAAATATCAATGTATCATTCCAGTGACTGTGTACGCTATTTTTTATGAAAATATGGAAAAAATAAAGAGAAATCGAAATTCTTGTGCAAATTTAATTTTATTCCAAAGTTATCTGTTTTCTAGCGACTTCGCTTACGTAAATTATGCAGCTTTCTCTAAGTGGAATAATTCTTAATATTGGTGTTTCAAAATGTATTGAATGCAACCAAATAAACAATCAACAATATCTTTCCCATTTAATAAGAGTCGCTGCATATCTGACGAAAGATGGGTGGGTCATTATCGGTCGCGGAACGCTAAACAAATATGATACAGTCCGGTTGCAGAACAGAGAGAATTACAATGTCCCTGCATTACATATCTCTTTCACTTGTACTGATACGCGATGGTCGTAGGTATGTTCCCCACATGTCACTATTTACTATATAGCAAGGTCCAGGAGAGTTGTTTAATTAACGAAATAAAATACGTGTCTACACCTTGCTCGTTTATTTTATACTGATTGTAGAAATCCTTTCATATATTAATAAAGGCATTATCAATAGGCACGGGAGAACGTTAATATATTATATTATTTACACGAACATACTGCCCTCCAAAACTCAGTTATAACATATAATAATGCTCCTTACATATTGCAAACAACAGTTGTTCTGTAAAAAATATTATAGAGTTCACTCAAGCATGTTTATTAGAAAATAAGAAACAATCGAAAAAAATATTCAATTGCCTTCAATTATTTTATATTCATACATTGGAATAATGACATCTTCTGACAGTACGACTATTTTGTAACTACGGCGTAAACAACATGCAAAAAAATCTAAGCGAACATTAAGTTGGTGATACACTAAACATAAACCTATAGCACTTAGTGAACTTATACAATATGTTTATCTATTTACGAATTTAATAAATTTATATTGGCTGGGAGGTGTTAATGCATCCGCCGTATAGTCCTGACCTTGAATCTTCAAATTTCAATCTGTTTCGCTCTCTTGAAAATTCTTAAGCAGTGTCAGATTAACATCATTCCAAAACCACTTGTTGCGGGTTTTTTATCAGAAGCCCCAAAAGTTCTATAGAATGGGCAATTTTATCCCTACCTAAAAGATAACAAAAAGTTATCGAACAAAATGGTACCTACATACTTTAGTTAAATGCAAATAAATTCGAAGAAACTTTTCCCCAACCTATTATTCTTATGATATATCGTACTTATACCTTACAGTCATCACCGACTCAATAAACTTATTTCTTTTTATCAATTTAATCTTTATCACCTATAACATAGCAAATAGCGGACTTAATGCCAAAAAGCATACTAGAAGTCTAACCGGTGAAAATCTTCGAGCATACAAAAAATTTAAAGAATACCTAAAGTTATAGTTAGTTCAGAATAGTAATTCCCTAAGTGGTACAGTGGACCCCCAGGGATCCGCGAGGGATTCAACGGGAGTCTACGTTGGCGTGAAATAGAAATAGGGGTTCACAAGTTGTAAGTGGGGTCCACGAAAATTTATTATTCATCTAATATTAAAATTATCTGGTTTCGATAGTAAAGAACAAAAATGTTGGCTTGGCTTTACTTACATATCAATGTGCAGGTAGACGATAATATTGTAAGAAGGTCAGCGTGTGTTACTTGTAAAAACTTGCTTTTTCAATATTCAGTACAATACTTGCAATGCGCCGCCGCCGCCCGCTCGTACCCGATGCTTGTTCAGACGTGCACAGCGACGAAATACCACTTCTGCTGTGCTTATAATCCTCTTTGAACTTGTTTGATTATTCATCAATATAAATACGAATGCCAAAGATAAACGTTACGCATTTATTTCCGGAATTTTGAAGAGAAAAGTGTGAGTGTTTGCCGGTCCCGGAAAAGTAAGTACCTCCCTGCCTATTTGATTCTAATAATATTTGTTATGTTTGCGTGTAGTAGATACGTACCTAATAAAAAATAAATACTCAACAGGTCCATTATTCGATTTGATTTGTACTTTTTATTATACAATTATTTATTTACCCGGCAGTAGTTCCTCACTGAAGGAGGCATATATGATTGACCACTAAAGGAGGGATATATGTATCCTCAAGAGCCTACTATCATAGATGGGCAAACATTTAAGTCAATCATGAAATTCAGTAAAATGGTCATATTTACATATACCGAAAACGAAAGATATTGTATTATTCTGAAGATGATCCAACTTGTCCAGAAATATTTGGTTAATGTTAAAAAAAAACAAACATTAGCGTA